CACCCTGGCACTAGGAGAGTGGGCATCCAGGTGCTGCTGCTGGCAATGGGCGACTGGCACCCTGGCACTAGGAGAGTGGGCATCCAGGTGCTGCTACTGCCAATAGACGACCTGGCACTTTCGACTCCGAATCTATGCCCTTGGGGGAGGACACCAGGGCCAGTGCCACGATTGCGGGATCTGCTGTTAACAAGTGTCCAGAGGCTGGTCCCCACTGCGGACCGGTCGACTCTGCCCCGTGGTGGCTTCCTAGGGCAGAGTCCAAGGGCTCTGGTGTTTCTGAGGCTGTGCATCCTGGTGGGAGCAGAAAGCCTCGCCCTTCTCCCAGGGAGCCACTGATGGTGTTGAACTGCCAACCCTGTGGTTCCCAGTCCAGGGTTTGGCCCACGGTGCGCCCAGGTCTCCTCAAGGAAGATCATTGCCTGCGAAAGTTCCAGAACCATTAGACCAATGGTCACCCCCTCGACCCTCTGCCCAGAGGTTGCAGGTTAATTGACCTGGGGTGCCGCCGGGGGAACATTGGGAAGGTAGCAATGCACAGCCATGATTGCTGTAGAGTGGTGGAGGGGAAACGAGGAGAACTCAAGAATACAAAGTCAGGGCCAAAGAGAGAAGAAACCGGAGGGAGAGAAGGCTGGAGAAGGAAGCAGAGGGCCCAGCCAGGGCCACTAAGCACATATGAAGGAGCCTCTTTCTTTCTTGCCTTCCTTCCTTCCTTCCTTTCCTTTTTACAGCTTTATTGGCACTTAATTCACATATCACACAATTCAATCATTCGATCCTATCAAAAAGAATTGTACAATCATTACCACAATCAATTACAGAACATTTTCTTGCTTTTGTCCCCCATGATTACATCGCCTTTAAAATGAGTTCTGTAATCACATTTAGTTCTGGTACTCATTCGCCCTCCCACCTGCATTGTTTACTCCCCGAATCCTCTCCCCCTCCCCCTTGCCTTGCCACCCACCCCTACAGCCCCTACAAACCCTAAGGTTGTTAGGATGATGCTGAATGAGAAAGTTGATCCAGAAGTGGTTAGATTACTAAACAACTGAAGAAGGTGGCTGTTAAATTTGCCTTTACTTTAAGAAAGAGGAAGCATCGTGGACTTAACCCATTAATTGGAGAAGTGCTTCTTATTTAAAGAAACCACCGTTGTGATGGGTTCTGTGTTTGAAATGAGTGAATAAGCCGTAATGTGCTGAGTGCATATGGGACTGTGACGCACACACCTACCCCGCTCTCCCTGCGGTGTGTGGTGGTGTTTGTTCATTTGTCATGACAATGGACAGCACAAGACCCATTCCCAACCCCTGGTGTTAGAGTGGGGTCTGCGTCAGGCTGCTCGTGGCAAGGTCATCAGTTTGAAGCCACCACCCGCCCCTTGGGAGAAAGGAGGGGCCTGTCCCCATAAAGAATTCCAGCTCAGAAACGCACAGGGGCGGCTCGGCTCTGCCTTACTGTCTCCGAGTCACAACTGACTCCAGCAGCAAGTTCGGTTCCGTCATATCAGTGCCTTGGTTGCATTCGTCGCCTTGTGTCCGCACGCTGTTATTTCCATCTGGTTCTCTCCGTCCCGTGGACTTGAACTCCCTGCCCTCCAACCTTCCCAGCTCTGCTGTAACTTCACTATTGTCCATTTGCTCTCTTATCCAAAACCAAACTCCCTGCCATCGCACCCATGCCAGCTCCCATGCACGTATAGGACGGACAGAGTGAGGTGCCCCTGGGGGTGTCCAAGGCTTAACTCTTCATCACGGCAGAAAGTCTCATCTTTCTCTTGAAGCTGGGGGTTTCGAACCCTTGACCTTTACATCAACAGTGTAAGACATGACATGACCAGCGCTCCCTGGTCTGATAGACTTCTTTTTCTAAAGAACAGAGTGCTCAAGAATGACAGGCTTTACTGTTTAAGCTAAACAATTACTTAATTTATAAGTGGCTTTGTCCAGAATGGAAGATCTGTCCCGTGGGTTCGCCCTTTCTCTCTGGGTTCAGGCATGGTGCCCTTCACCTGAATGACCAGCAGTGAGAGCCGGGCCGGCAAAAGACACACGTTTGGGCGCAGTTCTCCTGTGCCTTGAAATGAGCTCCCACTGGGCAGAGCATTGTATCCGCCATCTTCTCATCCCAGTGCCTCGAACCAGGCAGGGGCCCAAGCAATATTGTTGAAAAGTCAACTAATCAGTGACGATTAATGTGCATTTCAAAGAACATCAGTTCTCTACTTTGGATGGAAAGAGACGGTGATTGAAAATAAATAATATTGGGGTATACTGCTAAATGTCCTCACCGTTGAGGAAAGAGACCCCACAGAAAAGGTACAGCCAGTTGGCAAAGGGCTCTCTTTTTGCATTGACGTGTTCCTGCACATACGTCTAAGTCCACTTCGATATTGAGTATCACCTCAACATGTTATTCGGAGTGAGTGAGAAACTGTGCGCTTTTCTTGACAGATGTTTAATGCAGAAGAAAGAAACTGTGTGCAGACCCTCAGGGTCACGGTGCATGGGGTTCCCGGACCAGAGCCCTTTACCGTTTTCACTGTCAATGGAGGCACCAAGGCAAAGCAGCTTCTCCACCAAGTAAGTCTGCCGCCTCCATGATGGGAAGAAGCCAGTGCCAACATGTGTGGATGTCCTGTGCATGCGTGTGGAGAAGTGTGTCTCTATGCATGTGTACAAAGGTTGGTTTGATTTTTTTCCCCGTGTAGCTATTTTTTTTAATTGTGGCAAAAACATACACAACAGTCTCCAATTCAAAACTTCTACGTGGATAATGCAGTGTCATTGATTATATTCTGTGTGTTGTACAGCCATTATGGATCTCTTTTCCGAATGATTCTACCACCATTCACATAAGCTCGGGCACCCTGAGCATCCGCTCTTCCTCCTCCCCCCACGGCAAGCCCGGGCCGCGTTTGGTTCCTTTTTTGTTTTTTCAGTAGTTTTCATGATAGAATATTCACATCTCATACACGTCCACAGGTAAATCGCTTTTTCAAAAATAGGATAGGCATCATCATCACAATCAGTTCGAATGCTCCCTCCCCACTTTCTATCAATATGTTATTCACCATTGAGTGCCATCCTAGGGTGATGTGAGAGAATCGGAAATAGTTGGTACTACTGTGCCACCTTACCATGTAGAGAATCGTTCCTGACAGTCCTTCAGCCCCATCGAACCCTGGACTCTAGAAGAATAAAGACCAGAGCTCACCATGGCCCCCCCACAATGCGTACCCCTTCTCTCCAAGCTTGAATATGTGCCTCCTCGTTCTCCTTTACTCGGCGCTTACTGGTCAGTCAGTGTTCACACAGGAGCTAAATGGAGTCTACTGCTCGTTCTGGACTGGAGGTTGACCTTTAATTCTTAGAGCATGAGGCTATGCCCAGGAAGACACCTCCAGCCTAAGACCTTCCATTATATGTTGAGCAGTGGCCTTGGTTCCCTTCCCCTGGGCCTTCTTTGGAATAGAGAGGCTCGGAGAGCTTCATGGAGGAGAATGAGAGCCTACCATCCCAAGCCCTGTAACAGAACTGGCCTAAGTGCACCATGCCACACCATTCCTGCCCTGTCTCATACTCAGGGTTCTCTGTGGGCCTCTGCAGACAGGCTTTCCTCCTCCGGGGAGGACTTGTAAGAAGGAAAGGGTGAAGAACAAAGAGGCACTTAAGAGAGGGCACCGCCTCAAAACACCAAGGCAGGCGCCTATGTAATTCCTTTGCCCTTCACGCTGAAAGCACTAGGCATTTTTAGACCAGTGACCTAAAATCCTTGCACACTCTTTTGTTAAAGAACCATTTCCTTTTCCTCCTTGGAGTAGACAAAAGGCAGCAATGACCAAAACCCTTGACCTCCCGGGGAAGTTAAGGTGCACAGTGAAATGTCGCTGGGAGCATGTCTTGGATAGGAAAGTAAGACACTGATTGGACAATTATACATGATGATAAGTATTACCAACTGGTTCCAAGCGGTTCTGCCATCTAAGAGGAAGTCTCTGCGGACATGCTGTGGGCCCCTTTCTGGGGCCCAACATTGTATTGTGGACTTTAAATAGCGGCAGAGAAAGTAGCTTACAGACTAAATTCCATTGATTCTTAAACACATGCTACTGCTGGGTGGCTTTGCTTTCATGTCAATCAGCCCATGTGTCTACTGTCTTGGGGTTTTGAAAAAAATCTGTAAAATGTGAGCATGTAAAATAAGGCAGTGGGCCCCCTTTAAAGCGCAGCCATTCTTTCAGTTGGTCGAGGAGGGGAAAGTTAACCCGCTCTTAATCAAAATTCTAGAAATATAACAAGATTTAGTTGCTGGAAACTCAAAATGTAGCCGCCCTCTCCCTTGCAGTAAAAATTCCTTTTAAGCTTAATCCGTAGAAACGGTCTGCTAACTCGAGACAGTAAACAAGGTCGTCAGCTGGGCAGCCAGGCACAAAGCAGCCCCCATTCAGAAAAGCCGGAGCGTGGCGCTTCTGGGAAGGGTGGTCTGACCCTGGGGAAACTATGTACAGACAACGGTGTCGTGTGATCCTTGCAGAACTGCTTTTTGTCACATGATTTTCATCGGACTTTCAAAGGACGTAGCAAACCCTGCTGTTTCTTCCTTTTTCACGCGTTCAGAAAAAACTTAAAGTTTCTTGACCCCACCTGGCCTCTGGCATTGACTGGAACTGACAGGCAATGCCAGACCCTTTTTTCCGGCCACACGCTCTCCTCTCGTGTCAATACTCTTGTAAAGGGAGGAGTAGGGAGTAGGAGACACCGGCCTTCCCAGGAAAGTGACAGTGCTGTCTGACCTACTCTTGGAGGCTACTTTGGTGACACGTAGGTGTTTCACTCAGTCCATCTGTGGGCTCCAGAGAGTCGCTATCACAGCGTCCATGTCAATGGTAGACCAAGGCCCGGGGTGTCGGGGCACAACCTTCGTGAGCATCTCCTGCCCTACACCATCCTCAGCACCGGGGTCGTTACATCACAGGCCAGGCCTCAGGAGAAGGGTGTTCACTTCTCTGTGCTAGTGGACGGCTTCCTGCCTTCCGCCACCCATCACAGCAAAGCAGCGCGGGGAGTTTCTTGTCATCACAAGTGTCGAGTTCACACACTGTGTGTGTGGTGCTTTGTCTCGTGGGCTTCACTTGTAAGATTGAAACCCATTAAGAGGCAGTTGTTGCTCTTAAGATCCCTACACGGAAATGAAGACACTGTTCTCCAAGGAGTTACGTACTTTGCCCAAGGCCTCCCAGCCAGGAAGTAGTACAGGCCAACCTCAGAGCCCCATCAGCCTGGCTCCAGAGACTCGCTGGACCACGCTGCTTTACCACCGTTAGTGGCCAACAAAGAAAACAGTGCCCCAGGCGACCCTGTCAAGCACTTATTGCGAGGAAAATTCCCAAGAACTTAGATCAGATGAACATTTTTTTTTTTTAGCCCTGTGAAACTTCCACTGGAAGATGACCGAGTATTTCCAGTGTGAGAGAAAGCTCGATTGTCCAGGTAAATACTGGGCTGTGTGCTCGGGCCTTGTGAGGTTGTAACACAGCGAGGGCTCTTATTCCAGCATAAAACGAGTTATGCTGTGCGGGGAGTAGGAATGAATCGTGTTGTTGCCCAGGCTGCATGGACACAGTTCTCTCTGGGCACAAGAGAAGCTGTAGACCGTCCCCAAAGAATGATGCCGTCCGTGTGGAGCGCACGTGCAGGCACCCTGCACAGGGGCTTCCTGAGCTCCAGAGTTTGCCTCTCTTCAGAAGGGTGCCTCAATTTGCCTTTGCTGTTCTTTAGATTTGGGCGATGGAGCAAGGCGCCGGAGCCACCGCTACAGACTACTTTTTGATGGAGGAGAAGTATTTTATATCGAGAGAGAAGCACGAGAGCAGGAAGCAGCCCTTCCAGAGAGTCATTGGTCCCGAAGAAGAGCTTGTGCAGATCCTCAGCAGCTGGTTTCCAGAAGAGGGCTACGTGGGCAGGATTGTCTTAAAGACCCAGCAGGAAGTAAGTGTCTGGAAGCAGCTCACACAGTCAACAGCTTGGAAGTGGCTCGTCCGTCCCACGGACCCACCGCCCATCTCCCATTAGAACTCCATGCGGTGCCTACTCGGCTCATGTTCTCCTTCTTAAGTCAAGGTCAAGGCATGATTTTATCCTTCTGCACTTATTCAGAGATTTGTTTCTGAGTTACAGAGGTGTGCTCTAAAAGCCATGGCTTGTCGAACCAAGGGACCGGGAAGGTAAAGGGGTCCACGGGTGTGTCCGCAAGCTGTGAGCCCAGTGCTGTGTTTCTATGTTGTGAAAAGACCTTGCTGTGAGGAGCACGTGGTTGGGTAAAGCAAGGCCTTGTGGGCAATTCATGCTTGGGAGCTAATTTGCCTTCCTAGAAGTATCTATTTCAGTCGTAGCCAATAAAAGAGTCTGTGTTTACAGCACAAAAGAGAGCATTCTTTGAAAATATCCCAGAATGTTGGGCAAAGTAAGAATGCTTTCTCTTCCTACCTCGGCTTGCGTAAAAAACTATATTGTGCGAGCTGATCGTCTCACTGAAGGAGCGCTGGTGGCACGGTGATTCCAACCACAGTGTCAGTGATTCAGACCCATCATCTGCCCCCCAGGAGAGCGCTGGGAAGGCTCACTCCCCTGAAGAACCCAGCCTGAGACACTTCAGGGGCGGCTCGAGTCTGCTCTCTCGGAGTGGGTTCACTGTGCATTGGAATAGGCTCAGCCGGCCCGGGTCTGCTCTGGTTTTGTTGTTTTGAGTACGCCCAAGCTGCTTCCCGTGAAGCCAACAGCACTCCTGTGGCCTGCTTCAAGGCTCCTTCCAGACTCATTGAAAGCGTGTCGTCGCTTTTTAAACTTCGTTGTTTCTGACAAAACTGATCAGACCCCATTAGCTTAGTGTCATGACTTAAAAGTGCTGAATCAGGTCCTTGCTCCAACTGAGGCTGAGGAGAGGAGGCACCAGGAGAGGCTGAGAAGGAGGCATTTGGGTCACTTCAATGATTTAAGTAAACACTTTTTTTTTTTTTTTTGAGCGCCTCACCTGAGCCAGGTCCTGTTCTGAGCCCTTGATCAGCTCCTTGTGGGCATTTCCTGTAAGGGCTTGGCTAGTAAGTGAAAAATGCCCACTGGTGGTCCCACGGGGGCGATGTTAGCACACCGTGTGGCCTTGGACTTCCTTTGAACATGGCTTGCAGCCGCCACATAACTCCAGCATCTCCCATGAGAACCAGAGCCTCCACCTGCCTTCCCTAAAAGGCCACTCCGTTGAAGCAAAGAAGCATAATGATCGCCCCCATCAGAAACCAATTGCTAAAAAAAAAAAAAAAAAGAACCCAATTGCTAAGGTCAAGAACAAGCGGTTCTGTAACAGTCGCTTTATGGGAAAATAGCGAGTGAGTGGCTCTGCCGGGCCTTTGAGTTACTCTTAGTTTCTCTCTCAAGGATAACACCCGCCCCCCCACCATATTTCTAATGGCCTTCCCTCCTCCTCCGTTTTGTTTTGTGTTTTAGCTGTTTTGTTGGGAGCCATCGAATCAATTCGACCACCAAAGCGCCTCCCCTGGTTCATGAGCTGCATGGGAACATTAGCTTCGAGGGCAGTGGT